CTTAATGTTCAAACTGGTTTACAGTAGGAGAACTACCAGCATTGTTATTATCAAGGGACAGAATGGGGACAAGCCCCTATCTCGTTTATTTTGTTTTCTTCCGGAATCTGGCACATGGCTCTCAATAAATGATGAATCGAATGAAATACGTTATTAGCAATTACTGCAAAAAGCTCTGGAGTATTATTTTTTTAAAATACCATCACTGGGGTGGGAGGGATTTTTTAAAAAAAATTTTATTTATTTATTCGTGAGACACACACACACATGCACACACACCCACAGGCAGAGGGAGAAGCAGGCTCCATGCAGGGAGCCCGACGTGGGACTCGATCCCGGTGTCCAGGATCACGCCCTGGGCTGAAGGCGACGCTAAATCACTGAACCGTCCGGGCTGCCCTCTGGAGTATTTAAAACAATATTTTAAATGTCTCTGCTAGGAAGTTGGTGATTTCTATGGGAAAAAAAGGACATCATTTAGCTTTCAAAATTCAAAAAAGAAAAGTATTTTCATTATATAAGTAACACTAAGCACATTATTGAAAATCTGGAAAATAGAGGGAAAAAATACCTTATATTCACAGTCATAACATAACTAGTGTTAGCATTTTGGTGCATTTCCTTGAGGCTTCCGTTCTGAACCCCCACCCCAAGCAAATGCCAGTTTTTGTATAGAGGCAATCATGCTGTATTTAAAATTTCCCCTGCTTGCTGCTTTGTTATTGCTTAATCTTCATAAATCTCATTTTTTCCTTTATTTTTTAGTTCTCTGTTGAAAATAGCTTTACCATTTAAGTGAAGTCAACTTATGCTCTTTGATAAGATGTACTTTAAGTAAGCCCCTTTTAGATGTTTGGCATTTCACATCGGCTGTATCCCTTTCTATCCTCTAAACAAGCATGCGGCAAATATTAGCATCCCCATTGTACAGATGAGGAAATTGGTCTGGGTGTCACTGAAGAGCTTATCCAGTCTGCCATGGCAGAGCTTTCAAAAAATGCACTCTTTCTAGTTTTCCATGCTGTCTTGTCTGCTTATTTTACACCATATTCTCTTCTGTGGGTAAAGGGATTTACAGACTGTGGGAGAGCACTCTTTTTCATCTTGTTCCATGGGAAAGAATATGGGCAAAGACTCAATATCTGGTTTGATGTTGTATCATACAGTGCCAGCATTTTTCTAAAGTTTGACAAAGTGAGGATGTCTTTTTTTTCTTTTAGGCCATGACTATTTATGCTTCACTTCAATTTATGTTTTCAAATTTAGTTCACGTTCCAATAATTTTTACCAAGGAAAAGTTAACTATGGAAAACCATAGTTTTAGACTTTGGGTTAGTCACTGGTACCCCTCCCATTTGAAATCCACAGACAGATACACACTTAAAATTGACAGAGAAAAGTGCTACATCATCATTCAACTCAAATGGAAAGATGTAAAGTAAAATGAATAAATAAATAAAAATAAGTAAAATGAAGCTATGATTAAAGAAATGTTCAAAGATTAAGAATGGGCACTGTCAGTTGAATCTCCTTTTCATGTGAAGTAGTAACTCAAAATACAGCATTATGTCCATATTGGGTGTAATTAGAAATACTATGAAACTTCGGTTGTTTTACTGGGTGTTCAACACATTGAAGTAAATAATGCCACATTAAACAATCCCAAATGTGACTGATCAATTAAAATTAATTGCACATGATCAAATTATAGCATGAAAAACACGACTTCACTTCCTTTGGCCTCAAGTAGCCCCTGTATATTGCAAATAAGAATGCTTCCCCAGAATTATCTATAGTGATGTTGTATGCTGAGTATGGTTATGTTTTTTTTTTATGGTTATGTTTTTTAACTTTTTTGTGGATTCGTGCTATTTCATTGTTCTTGAGTAAAATACGCAAGTTGATATTAACTCTGTGTCTTCTGGGTCTGGCCAATTTATGAGTAGGACTTGCTCTCTCCCCTTCTACTTCTGATTTCTAAAATAAAAAAAAAATTGCATTAATGCTGGGGGAAGATTTCTGACCACAGGGACTTTCTGGACCTCCTTCAGAGAATACGCTCCTCCATAGCGCTGGCCACTATGTCAAAGACCAGCTTAGCTGAATAGAACTACTCTGCTACAGTGAAAGGGACTTTGTTGAATTGCAAAAGCTCTCTAGAAGGTACTTAAACATGTTGCACATTCCATTTCTTTGAAAGGTCAGCTTGGTAAACCTATCTAGAGAGATACTAAGGATAAACATATCCTCCCAGTTCTACAACATTGAGAAGCAAGCATGGTTATCTAGAGGTGAGTTTACATACCAGCATAATTCATGAAATTTATGTGCCAGGAGGTTCATATAGGGTACACTTTTAGTGCTATATATATATCCTTAGAAAATTTTGCAATGTTATTTTTGATTTTGTATTCTCTTCAATCAGTAACTCAGTGGAAAATGCTGTCTGAGGTGATTGTTTCATAAATGTTGTAAACCTACATTTATGAAGATTTAAGGTGATTCACTAATCATCTTAAATCCCACACTGAATCTGTCTGTATTCAAGCATTCTTGTAAATGAAGGCTAACAAGTGCAAGTCAGTTGTTGAAGAATATGCTGTTTAGTGTGGTAAAAATCTCCCATTTATTTTTATGTCCTTAATTTGGAGACACTGTAGACAAGCTAGGTCTCAGAAGAACTGAGGAGAGGCCTCCTCCCCTTCAGTGCCAGTTGTGCCTGGGGGGTGTGCTTCAGAGATTTCCTGCCAAGTTGGGTAGCCTCGTTTACCTATGCCAGACTTGGGAGAAGTCTTGAACCAAGTGAGACAGTGGATGTGTAAGACCTTCGGAAATGACTAAACACGGTGACGTATAAGGTAGAATCATTATGATAATCACCTTCACATCTTCAAGATTAAAATGTGAAACTTTTCCTTTTGGATAGAACGTAGTTGGTGGAGGCAGGCCACTAGGAGGAACTGGAAGAATGACGAAAATGAGATTTTGGAAGGCACAAGGCAGTCATGGAAGAAATGAGTACTAGATGAACTAAAAGGACAGAGAAGGAAGAATTGTTCCCAGGCAAGTTGAAGACTGACAGGTGTTCTTGGCCCTAGTGGCATTTGTTGATTTGGGGTACAGGTCTAGGATCAGATGTGGCTTAGGCAGATGGTCCTCGTGAAAGGAAGAGAAACCAGCAAAGCTCTAAACAACACAGGGCCTAGTGTGACAAATTGGAAACTTGAAACGCTTCACACGCAGAGCTGGTTTTCTCTGCAAAATATTTGCTGAGTTATCAGGATTCATAGGATGATGGGGAATGGGGCTGGAAGTTTCTACAGGGCAAATGAAACCTCCCACAAGCTTACATTCTTAAAAAACAAGAAGCCTCTGGGGGGACAGGGCCTACTTCAAGCACACGGCTGTTTCCTCTTGGCCTTAAGACTTTTGCCAGATGTTGACATGTTGTGTGTGTGTGTGTGTGTGTCTGTGTGTGTGTATGTGTGTGTGTGGAAGGAACCTGGAAAGCTGGTTTGAAAACGTCTGAAATCTTCCAGAGTTGAGGAAACTGACATCCACTGGGCTCTCCATCAGAAGTAGGGCAGGGCTATGCCCCGGGAACAGGGTGGATATAGACAAAGGCCTATAGTCTCATCCTAAAACTGCAGCCCTGCCCCAAACCAGTTAAATTCCTGATTGGATTCATGTGATCAAGCCCTCATATCTAAAAAAAAAAAAAAGAAAGGGACACACTGTCTAGTGGAATAGAGCATCAGCAATAACCTCCACTTTTCTATATGCAACATTTGGCATATAGTCAACAATATCTAGTCGTGCATGGATATAAATGAACATAGGCTGTACAAAAATAAACATTTTCTAGATGTTTTCTCCCACTGTAAAGAGATTCCAGTCTAATCAGAGAAGCAATTCTTTGACAAAAGTAGGAAGTTTATGCTGGCTAATAGATAAGAGAAATTAGATGCCTGTTCTTTTTTGCTCATCCTTTACTATATTTAAAATATGGCTTCAAAAAATGTAAGTCACACCTCTGGTATTATTTTATTCTTCTTAATACAATTTTTGCTTTCAAAGTTTTTCTATTCTTCCTATGTCTATGTTTTGAGGTACTTACTAAAAAATACTAACTTGGTAATTACCCACTGAATCACTAAAAAGCATCGGAGTATAAGAAATGAAGCAGACAGATATTCCATTAAATTTAGCATTCTTGTTAATGATAACAAAGGGCAGAGTTAGAAAAAAATGGAGAAGAGAATATAGACAGATAACTCAGTGGGAGTCTGATTACAAATTTAACTTAAACTGGGAAGAAGAAGGAGGGGAAAACCCAGGCTTTTGTGTTGGAAGGTCTGCATTAGAATCCTGCTCCATTGCTCCCTGGCTGTGTGACTCTGGTCAAGTGTTTTAAAGCTCTCTACACCTTAGTTCCCTCAACCTTAACAAGCAGAGGTAATGATGTCTAATTTATACTGTAATCAAGTTTGAATGAAATAGTGTATGTGAAGTTCTTTGCATGTACTGAGTGATAAGTATTATTGGTATTGTTATTATTTATACACCATCTATATTCTAAAAGTGGGGAAATAAAAATAATAATAAAACTAGGGAAGTAGGCAAGAAAAAAAATTAAAATGAGTTATGCTGGAGTGACCAAAAGGAAAGTGGGGAGAAATGGGAATGAAGAGGCAAACATGGAGGGGAGGTCACATTAGGAATTTGGGCAGCTTTGCTGGCCATGAGGATGAACTTGGAGTGGAAGGTAGTGCATTTTGAATGAGCAATGTGATCCAATATTGGGACAATTAGAAGTAAAGAAAGTCCAGGGCTTTGCCAGCCATGTTTTATGATAGGAGAAATAAGGAGAGGAAGGAAGAAAGATAAAATTAACAGGAGAAAATGCTAAGGAAACACAAGAATTATACTGAAAGAGATGGAAAGGAACAGCATTTGGATTTGACTCTGTTACATTTTCAGAGATGTGTTAATTCACGCACCTGGGCTGTATGGAGGAACAGGGTCCCCGATCATGTTTTCTGTAGTTCCTCTCAAGACATTTGCATCAGGCACTGCACTTCCGTTCCTTCCAAAGAGGAATATGTAATTACTTTAAAACATTAAACCGTACTTAAGTTTTTGTAAATAAACACTACTTTGTGTGGTTCAAAGTGGTAAGAAAGTGTATATAGTGAAAATCCTCCTTCCTATCCATTGTCCACTAGCTATATAATTTTTTTTCTTGAAGGCAATGAAAGTCGTTGTCTTTTTTTTAATGTATGTATTTCCAGAGATATTTACTTACATGTATAAATATAAAAGTTTTCCCTTTAGGACACACATGATGCCATAACATATAAGCTGTTCTGGATTGTATTTTTTTCTCCTTAACAATATCCTTTGATATTAGTTCATGGCAGATTAGATTAGTTCATGGAAGTATACAAAAAGCTTCCCAATTTTTTTTTCTTTTACCAAGTTGCTTAAGATTCTATTTTATAGATTTCTTTAAATTCATATAACCAGTCATTCTCGATGGACACATAGGCTGTTTCCACTATTTTGCTACTGCAAAGAGTGCTACAGTAAGGGATCTTCTGCACATGTGATTTTGTACATGTGTACACAGATATTGAAGATAAATTTCCAGAAGAGAAATTGCTCAGTCAGAGGATCTACATATTTGTGATTTATAAGTAGATATTATCAAAAGTGCCCTTCTTAAAACCTGTGTCAGAGGGCACCTGGGTGGCTTAGTGGTTGAGCATCTGCTTTCGGCTCAGGGTGTGATCTCCGGGTCCTGGGATGGAGTCCCGCGTCGGGCTACTCGCAGGGACCCTGCTTCTTCCTCTGTGTCTCTGCCTTTCTGTGTTTCTCATGAATGAATAAATAAAATCTTTTAAAAAAGCTTTGTAAGTTTCATCTCCACAGTAATGTATGAGAGCAACTGAATTCTCCAAACTCTAACACAGTATTTTATATTATTTTTAAAAATTTGTCAAAATTTATAGGTAAAAAATGGTATATCTGCACAGTTTTTTTGCATTTAATATAAATGGAGTTGAGCATATTTATTAATGTTTAAGAACCATTTGTATTTTCTGTACACTATTTTATTCCATTGTGAGTATTTTTCTTTTTTTCCCCCAACACTTTAAATATGTCATGCCACTCTCATCTTTCTTGCACGGTTTCTGAGGAGAAGTCCAACGTAATTCTATCCTCGTTCCACTACAGGTAAGATGTCCTCCCCCTCTCTATCCTTTTACAAGATTTTCTCTTTTTTTAAGATTTTATTTATTCATGACAGACACACACACACAGAGGCAGAGACATAGGCAGAGGGAGAAGCAGGCTTCCTGTGGGGAGCCTGATGTGGGATTCAATCCCAGGACCCCGGGATCACAACCAGAGCCCGAAGGCAGATGTTCAACTGCTGAGCGACCCAGGTATTTCTCAAGATTTTCTCTTTATGTTTGTCTATACTTTAGACATGGAATATGTGTTGAATATGAGATACACTGCATATTTTTTTGGTTTTTATCCTACTTATTATTCTCTGACCTTCCTAGATCTGTGGCTTAGAATCTGTCATTAGTTTTGGAAAATTCTTAAATGTTATCACTTCCAATGTTTCTTGTTGTTTTTCTCTCTTTCATCTCCTTCTGGTATTCCCGTTATGTGGATGCTACTTCTTTTGTTATTTTCCCACAGTTCTTGGATATTCTGTTCCATATCTTTCTTTCCTTTATCTTTGCATTTCAATTTTAGAATTTTCTATTGACCTATGTTGGAATTTCACTGGTTCTCCTTGGCTGTGTTCTGTGCACTGATGAACCCATCAAAGGCATTCTTCATTTCTTTTGCAGTGTTTTGGATTTCTCATATTTCCTTTAGATTCTTTCCTAAAGGAAAGTCTTCATCTCTCTGCTTACATTACCTGTCTGTTCTTGCATGTTATCCATTTTGTCCACTAGAGCCCTTACCTTACTAATCATAGTTATTTCAAACTCCTGGTGTGATAATCCCCAAACTCCTAACTCTTGCTTTGTCTTTTCATATTATGCTTTTATTCTTTAACCTTTCAGAATGCTGTGTAATTTTTTTGTTGAAAACTGGATATTATGACTTGGGTTAAAATTACTTAGGTAAACACCTTTAGTGGAGATTTTATATTTATCTGGTGAGGAATTAGGCTGTTTTTATTGTTTGCAGTGGCTATGGGGTCAGGGGCGAAAGTTTCTTCCGGTGTCTCTGTTTTTGTTTCCTTTGTTGTCTTTGGGTTTCCCTAGAGATTTCTAAAATAGGGTCTGAGTCCTGCAGTTCTTTTAGCTTTAATCCTTCTTACTATACAGGAGCTCTCTGGATGTCATGGTAAGATGTAGGGGCAGGGGAAATGTTCTATGGCCCTAAGACTAGGTCTCAGTCTTTTAGAAAGTCCCAGTTGGATATTTCCTTTTCTCCACAGTGAGGTCTGGAAGGGGCTGGTGGTGGATATTTCCCTTCCTCCAGGTTGATTAGGTGCTGGCAAAATATCTTTTCTTGAGGCCAGGCTTTGTTAAGAAGAATAGAGAACTCTGGGCATATTTTAAAATGGTTATTTTCTCCCTTCCCTGAAGGAAGCAGGAAGAAATTTTTCTCAGATCTTCTCAGTGAGAATCTGGTAGAGCTCTTGGGGGTACATGTCAGGAAAGTGTAGGGTCCCTTCTAAGATTAGGCCTTTTCTGAATTTTTAACTCTCAAGCTTGTACAAACTGAGCTCCTAACAATTAATCAATGACAGTTAGGTGTTCTTACTGATACTGGTTCCAGAGGTGGGCTCCTGTTCCTCTAAGGTATGAGTCTCTACATCTATCTGTCTTTTCAGTTTTCACAGCAGCAGCTTATCCTGTGACCTGAATTCTCTGAGGGATCTAAGAATATCTGTTGACTTTAGTTTGTCCAACTCTTTTCTTGTGTGGGATGATTTCCAAGTCTTTACATGTCAGACTGGAAAACAGAAGTCATATTTTTCTTATTGATTTATAGGAGCTTTTTGTATATTAGGGAAATGAGTTCTTTTTTTTTAAGTATTTATTTATTTATTCAGGAGAGAAAGGGCAGAGACATACTCAAAGGGAGAAGCAGGCTCTCTGAAGTTAGCCGGATGCAGGACTAGATTCCAGGACCCTGGGATCACACTCTGAGCCCATGGCAGACGGTCAACCACTGAGCCACCCAGGTATCCTGGGAAATGTGTTCTTTAACTTGATATGAGATGCACATTTTTTTCCATTTTGTCATTTATCTTCTGAATTTGTGTTTTCCCTCCACACAATTAAACAAATATTTTGTATGTGTTAGAATTTGTCATTATTCCCTCTTAGACATTTGGGTTCTGTTATACAATTAGTAAGACCTTCACTACTGAGATTAGAAAAGAATTCTTCCATTGTTTCTTTTAGTACTTGTTACGGTTTTTAAAAAAATATTGAAATATTTGCTCAATTTAGGTTGTATCCTCATGTAAACTGTGAGGAGTACATACCATTTATGTTTTCCCAGTTGTCTATTCAGTTGTTTCAAAACCATTTACTCAATTGTTCATTCCATTAATTCTTGCCTTATCACATATTAACTTATTCTGTGTATTTGGGTCTATTTCTGTGATTTCTATTCTGTGTTACTGTTTTATCTCCCTATTGATATTCTAATATAAATAGATCACATAGCAACACTACTCTGTTTTGATACTATAGCTTTAAAATATTAAAAATATTGTATAGCTACTCTCCATATCTCTTGTCAATTTAAATTTAATATTCTTTTTTTTAAAGGTTTTCTTTCTTTATTTAACAGAGAGAGAGAGAGCACACAAGCAGGGAGAGCAGCAGAGGGAGAGGGAGAAACAGGCTTTCAGCTGAGCAGGGAGCCCAATGCCGGGCTCAATCCCAGGATCCTGGGATTCACGACCTGAGCTGAAGGCAGAGGCTTAACTGACTGAGCTACCCAAGCACCCCTAAATTTAATTTTCTATATTAACTTCAGCATCAAGGTTAAGTTTTTAGATTAATTTAGGAATGATTACATATTTATAAAATTGAATTTAAAAAAAATCTAAGAACACTATATGCCTTTCTATTTGTTCAAGTATTCTTTTGTGTCCCTAAGGAGCTTTAAGTATATTTCTTCATTTAGATCTTGCACATTTTGTTAACTGTATTCCTGGGAAATTTATCTTTCTTTCCCCCACCCCGATTGTAACTAGGGTCTTTATTCCTTTATTATGTCTTTTAGCTGATTGATCATATGTGTATATAAGATGTTTACTTCTATATATTTATTTTAGGGAAACAAGCCATTTATAAATATTTAGAAGTATATGCCTATTAAAATAGAAGGCAGTGTACATAATGGCAGTCTGAAGTCCCATGAACTTAGCTCCACCATTTATCGGCACTGTAACAATAGGCATGTTACTTAATCTTTTTAAGAGAGGGAAGTGGAGAAAGAGAGAGTGGAGTGAGCGGAGTGGGGTGGGGGGACAGACACTCAGAGGAAGAGAGAGAGAGAGAGAGAGAGAGAGAGAGAGAGAGAGAGAGAACCTTACGCAAGCTCCACACTCAGCATGGAGTCTGACTTGGGGCTTGATCTCACAACCCTGAGATCACAACCTGAGGTTAAATCAAGAGTTGGATGCCTAACCGTCTGAGCCACTCACCCAGGCACCCCTTCCTGAATATGTCAGTTTTCTCATGTGTAAAATGGGATAATAATAGTACCAATTTCATAAGGCAGTTTTGAAAATTAAAAAGATAAAGCACAAAAGCACTTAGTAGACGGTCTGGAACATAGCAAAGTAGTCAATAAATGTTGACTACAATGGTCCTGTCCTCTTACCATTGAAACTTAAATGTAGTCCATGGGAGTCAGACTAGCAACAGACACTAGTCTGTTGCTCAAACACTCCCCTCCACTCCACACTCATCACAGTTCCCAATCCAAAGCCTTTGACCAAAGGGTTATAAAGTGGGGGTGGGAGAATGTGTGAAATGGAGGTAGAAGGGCAGAGGCCCAGTTATACCTTTATTGTTATAGAAAAGGAATGAAAGTATTCCTTGGTGATATGCATGTGGAGGTTCAAGGAAATCAGAGGAGGAGACACATGTTAATAAACAAAGCAGCAGAGATGGACAGAGCACTTTTGTCCAGTGGTCTCCTTACATTTGTAGATACTTCATAGCTTACAGGCCATTTTTACATACATGTATCATGAACCCATATTTACAGTGACTTACCCAGGGCCCATGGAGGGGGTATCAGTAATCACAGGGAGTAGATCGTGAGGTTGCAGGGAGGGTTGGACAAGCTAGTTCCACATCTGCTGATGCCTATTCTAGTCTCATTTATCTTTGTACCTGTCTTCACTTACCTCATCATTTATTCCCACCTGAGTGTAAGCACTAAATGATCAGCAGAAAAGATGACAAACTGAAAAAAAGAGAAAACCAGAAGGATTAAAATATTTTAAAAAGAGATAGCCTGAGAGAGCATTGGGATTGAAATCAGTAATAGTATTTGCTGAATATCTCATGGGCAGAAATCTAGGGGGAACTACATTAGGATCAGCATAATAATAGCTACTCTGTCTTAAGTGTCTATTGTGTGCTGCCTGTTTTATGTGCGTTTTTCCTTTTATTCCTAACAACAATCTTCCAAGGCAGGTGTTATTAAGCCAATTACACCACAGGTCTAGAAAGCAAGGCCTCATTCCTCTTGGAGCTTAACATCTATGTACTCATTGAAGAACACTTGTAAAATATACGCAAACAGGCGTGGACATAGGAGCTGGTGATCATGGCAGAGCTGGAAGGGAATCTTGAGGAAGTCAGCCAGACAGAGCCAGTGGAGTGAGTTCCGGAGAAAATGGGATGTGATCAATAAAAGGAAAGATACTGTTTGCATTACTGTAATCGGAAAACAGGACCAAACAGAAGGAGAGAATGAAACCTGACCGGCAAGTTAAGAGGACAAGGAAGCAGCAAAAGCTTCCTGCAGGTAGAGTTAGGGATGCAGAGGAAATGTGGATTAAATTCACCGCAGTAGAGTAGATGCTCGAGCAGGCAAACTGCTTCTAACCGGGAAAGTGCTCCATCAGCTACTTAGCCCTATCCCACCGCGGCCGCATCCTTTTTAAAGTGACAGTCACGAGGCTGCGGGATTCGGAAGCGGAAATGGTCCTTGCTCATTGGCTCACAATCTAAATTCAGACCGAAAGAATGTGGTCGGAGACAACTGGTGGAAATCGTCCCAGTCCTGTCTTCAGTGGAAATGTCCACGTGCTGCCCGTGCCTTCCCTTACCGAGGGTCTCCCTCTCTCCATCTGTCCCGCCCGCCCGCGCTGACCAGGTTTGTAAAGAAGTGAGCCTGCCAGCAGGCAGTCCCCGAGCGGCCCAGGACCGCCCCGCCTCGCCCCGCGCCGCCGGCTGCCTCGGTGCTCGCTGCCAGCGACGCGGGCGGTTTAGGAGCGGTGACCCCCCCTCCGCCCGCCCCGCCCCTCCCCCCGCCCCGGCTTCTCGTCTCTGCCCCGGGGCACTCAGCCTCGGAGCCCACCGAGGACGTGACCGCTGCAGATGCCGCGGGGCAGGGCTCGGGTGCTGCCTCAGCACGTAAGCACGACGCACGGAGCCAGCCCGCGGACACCCAATGACCTGGGACTGCGGCAAAGGGGTGTGGGAACCGCAGGGAGGGAGGACCACCTCACCTCTCGCCCCCCCCCCCCGCCGGGCCGCAGCCCGCCTCCCACCCCGGGGGCAGGGGAGGGTCGCTCCGGGTCGCCGCACCAGCGGCGCAGGAGCGCCCCAGAGATCTGCACATTCACGACTCCCCTACGTCTACGCGTGAAACCGCTGTGTCCCGAGCAGGGCCAGCCCAGCGTCTCGCCTCGGGCCCGTAGCTGACCCCCGAGGCGGCCCCCCCGCCCAAGGCGGATGCCCCCTCCCAGCGCAGGGGTCCGGGCTCCGCTTCGCCTTTGCTTCCCCCGCGAACGTCCTGCCGTCTGCAGCTGAGCTCGAGTCTCGGCAACTTTCACCATCTTGACCCGGGAGTCGAGCCCTCCCTAAGACAATGTGAACAAAGAGGCGCGGGGAGGAGGGTGGCCCGCGGGTGGGCGCCGGGGCGGGGGCGGGGCGGGGCAGGGGCGGCTCGGGGGCCCCAGGAGCCCGCCGGCCGTCCCGGAGCGGAGGGCGCCGCCGGCTCTGGGCCCCTCGGGGCCCGCGGTGGCGGATGTCTTTGTCCCGGCCTGTGGCTGGGCGCGAGGGCCGCCGGCCACGAGCGGAAAGCGGAGCCTGGACTCCGGAGCTCAGGCTTCCACTTGCGGCCCCGCGAGGCGGAGCAGGAAGGCGCGGCTGCTGGCCCCGTGGCGCCCCCCACGCGGCTCTGCGGGGCCTGCAGCCCTAAGGGAGGGACCCCGGACCTCCTCCGGCGCTTCCCCAACAGCGGACGGGCTGAAACAGCGGGGGCGGCACGGCTCCCCTACCTGGGCCCACTGGCGCTCCTCCACCCGGCTCTCCAAAGGTGCGCGTGCCCTTCCGAGTCGGGGACCCAGGCGCTCCTCTGGCGCCCCCCTGCCGACTGGACCGCGGCGGCCGGGACCCGGCGGCGGGCTGCACCCATACCTGCCCCGACCCCTGCCGCCGGGAAGCCTGGGACAGAACAGGCCACTGGTGCCTCTGTGCGGGCGTGTGTGTGTGTGTGTGTGTGTGTGTGTGACACACACACACACACACACACACACACTCACGGCTGGGCTCACATCCATCCGGCTTACCTGCAACACAGTTGGCGCTTCGGTGTGTCTGGCAGGAGAATGAAAGAGAAACTGCCGTACCCGTTCAAGCTAACTGATTCAGCCCCACGTCCCTCCAACTCTTCCAAGTAAGTTTTATTTTATAATGCAATGCGACATTACAGAGTCCATGTGAAAACTACTTTCCCAATCGTAGCCCGAACCTCTACCAATGCATCGAGGAAGATCTAGGCTACCAGATGCAGTGCCGCAGGACACTCGGGCGTACTGCCGCCGGCGCTCTCCGCGCATCTTTCCCTGTAAAGCGGGTACCTCGGATGTGCCCTGGGAAGTCCCGCGCTCTGGCACGCGGCACGGGCCTGCGGCAGCGGCGGACGGGCGCTAGGACCGCGGGGCGCCCGGGCGGCCGCGGCGCTACCTTAAACCCAGCCCAATGCCGCTGCTGCGCCACTCTGCGCGCCGGCGGGGGCTGCGCAGGAGGAGCGCTCCGCCCGGTACAACGCTCCGCGGGCCGGCGCGGCGACACCTGTTCGCGGCAGCCCGGGCGGCACGCGAGCTCCCGGCCGTGGCTCTCCTCGCTCGCCGCTCGCCACCCGTTCTAAGCCAATGGACGTCTGCCGAGCCTCCGGAGAATTCTGGATACTAGCTTTGGACGCCTAAAGTTTTTTTCTTCTTTTAAAAAAAATTATTATTATTATTTTTGGAGGGGGGACCAGGAGGGGAGATTTTGTCGCCACCGCCAACGTGAGATTTTTTTTTTTTTCCCCTTAAAGGATTCATGCTGATGTCTGCAGAGTCGGTTAGAGTAAAAACGGCGCATGCCTTCCTGGAGTCGGGATCCGTAAATTCTGACGTAGCCCGTGCATCTTAAAAATCCCTATAATAACGCCTAGGCATTTAAGTTGCTATGGTCATTCTGATCTCAAACCAAATGGAGAAACTACGGATTTTTTTTCCTTATTACGGTCGGATGGGATGAAGACCTTCCTGCCTGCTAAGAGCTGGGGATCTATCTATAGAGATACATAGATATGTTTATCAATATGTCAGTGTGTGAGTATAAAGTGGTGGTTTCTTAGACTATCAGTGGTTTGACCTTGAACCTGTGCCAGTGAAACAGCAGATTACTTTTATTTATGCATTTAATGGATTGAAGAAAAGAACCTTTTTTTTTCTCTCTCTGCGACTGCAGTAAGGGAGGGGAGTTGGATATACCTCGCCTAATATCTTCTGGGTTGATACCGTCATTATTGTTTATTCCTGTGCTCCAAAAGCCGAGTCCTCTGATGGCTCCCTTAGGTGAAGTTGGGAACTATTTCGGTGTGCAGGATGCGGTACCGTTTGGGAATGTGCCCGTGTTGCCGGTGGACAGTCCGGTTTTGTTAAGTGACCACCTGGGTCAGTCCGAAGCAGGGGGGCTTCCCAGGGGACCCGCAGTCACAGACTTGGATCATTTAAAGGGGATTCTCAGGCGGAGGCAGCTATACTGCAGGACTGGATTTCACTTAGAAATCTTCCCCAATGGTACTATCCAGGGAACCAGGAAAGACCACAGCCGATTCGGTAGGTATACCATTAACCCTTTAATGTCCGTGCAGTGACCTGTCCGGGTTAGAAGTACCCAGAAGGTGGCGGCCCGCGGGTGGGTGGGTGGGGGTGGGGAGGAGGGATGCGGGAAGGGGTCTGTCCCTCTGTCTCTGTCTTGCCAGCTAAAAAAAAAAAAAAAAAGGAAAAAGCAAAAAGCCTCGGGAATTGCAGATCTGCCGCTGGCACTGATGCAAGTCTACATTGAAAGCCCCCCCCCCTTCGCGACTTTTTTTGAAAGGAGGACATGATTTATAAATATAACAAAAGTCTCTAGTTCTTTTGCATCAGATACTCGGGAAGATGGGGTTTAGGAAGTTTCTTTTGAATGGGCTGATTGCACGAGTTTAAAGCTTTAATCATTAACTACTGAGAACTTGAAAATGCATTTTGCTGAGGCAGTGGTTATCATCTTATGGCCCAAGGAAGTTTTTGCTCCTTCTCCTTTTCTTCTAATAAGTGTACTGCTTGAATGGTAAATTAAGCGTATTGTTTATTCCCACCGTGAGGGTCTGAAAACCCCGTAGGCGAAGGTTGCTGACGGATTGTTCTGCGGGGAGGAAGAAAGTCATATTTTAGACTCCGAGAGCAGTGGAGGCTGAGTCGCTGGGGGAACAGGACTCGGGAAGGGGCAGAACGCTCACCGGGGGCGTTTGTCCTTGCAGCTATCAAGTTATCACTAACGTGTGCAGCCCCGCGTGGGTCTCCTGGGTGGCTCTCCGGCGTGCGTGCGCGCGCGTGCAAACGCTGCGAGCTAATTTTAAAGGGCATTCGGAGGATTTCATTTCCCAAGGAGGGTTCTTGTGACTCAGCACTGAGGGCTGCAGCCCCGAGTGCTGGTGACCGTGCTCACCCTGATGCCTGCACACAGGTGCCTGGGGGCCGCCCAGAGCCCAGTGTCAGCACAGTGTCAGGGAGCTCAGTGCCCGCGAAGGGAGTCTCGGTTGTTCTCCTTACTGACTAGAAAGAAAGAAAGCGCCAGTTGGACAGCCAGACTGTTGGAAGGAGTTAACTTCTCAGTGAACCCACCTGACAACACTTAAACTAGGTCGTAAAAAACGAAGTCCTGTGATTTTTCTTCCTCATGCTTTAATGCCAGATGTTGAGCACAGCCTAAACTATCTGTCTAGGTTCGTGGGGCTGTCGATGATGCCAGGAGGTGAGGATGGGGACGGTCTGGGACCATCCCCAGGATGTTTTCCCTTTGCTCTTCGCCTAGCCCAAGCCCCAACCTGAACCTCTTAGTGTAAATTGTGGCAGTCTCCCCTCTGCTTCAAAAAAGAAAAGACAAAGCTGTAGCTCTTTGCTTGGCAATTATTCAGTTGAAATACAACTGCATCCCCCCCACCCCCAGATAAACTCAGGTCTGATTGTTGCACAGCGAGGACTAAACTTTACTCCAAGTGCTGCTGTATCCGGCCGCTTTAAGGGCTGCCCGGGTGCGGAGCGTGCGGTACTCAAACCGCAGGCGGTGGGCGGCCGTGGGTGGGGGGCCGAGCGTGCGGCGTCGCACGGCCACCGAGGACACCTGCACCGCGCGGGCGGACGGCGAGGGCCCCGGGCGGGCGGCCTAGGTGCGCCCGGCGGCGGGAGCCCGGGTCCTCCCGCGCGCGGGGCCGGCAGGTGCCGAGGCCGCCCGGGCCCCCCGCGCTCTCGGCGGCCGCCGGGCCAGCTCCGCGCGGTCCTAAACGCACTCCGCTTCCGCCCCCCTTTCTACCGGGCTGGAGCGCGCCCTTCGGCGCTGCAGGGACGCCTCGTGTCGGGGGCGACGGGCAGGGGCTGGCACGCCTCTGGCCGGGTTTAGGGAATGAGATTGTTTCTGGCCCACGTTTAGCCCCTTCGCTTCCTCTTTGTGTGTGAGTGTGGGTCGCGCGGGGCCGACGGCCGCCGCCCCGGGCAGCGCGGTCGTTTGCGGTGTGGGAACCGCCGGAGGCGCGCACCGCGGCGGCGGATCGGGTGGCGGGGACCGAGGACCGGCTGCAGGTCGTACCCTTGACCTCCCCCGAGTCTGTTCGGACCCATCCCCCTCCGCCGAAGCACGCAGCCAGGTCTCGGAGAGCCGATGGCTCCGCTGTGCCCGGGAGGTGGGTCCGGGGCCCGGCCGACAAGGCCGGAGCCACAGGGCAAGGGGTGGGGGGACAAAGGGCCGCCGAGGCGGTGCAGGGGGCGCTGAGCTATTGTTGACGGCGTTGCGGGAGCAGAGCTCGCGGCCTGCCGGCCTGCGTTCCAGAGCCCCGGCTCGGGCCCCGGCCTCTGGGCTGGGAGGGGTGGGGCGAGGGGCAGCGCCGCGGGGTTCACCGCTGCAGGGCCAGGGCAGCCGCATTGTGTGTGTTAGCCGCTCCTTGCCTCGGAGAGAGCGCTCGGAGCCCGGTGCAGCCCGGCTGCTCCCCGGCCTGGAGAGATTATGGGATGTTCCAGTGGGGGTTCTCCACGGCCCCACCCCCATGGGCCTTTAAAAAAGATGTTAGCGCAGTCACCTTTAGGGTAGGACGTTCGCTAAATAAATGCAGTCGAGTCATTAGGAATCCAGTAAATCCACAGGGGAGAGTGAGGATGCGAGAGTGGAATTGTGGGGACCACGAGGGTGGGGAGAACCCAGGAAGCGAGTTCTGGGGTCAGCAGACAAGGACGGCTGCTACAGCAGCTGAATAGAGATCATAAAACAACAACTAGACGTCGTCACCCCTCACCCCACTCCACCCCAGCCCTGGAGGTTGGAGAAAGGTGTCGCCAAGGAAGTGACATCTCCACTCCTTAGACTCGGTTGGCACTGTCGGCTGGGTTGGTAGGGGCGGCGCGGGAGGGAGGACAGGAGGGCCCCGGCCCGGGTTGGGGGAAGGGTCGCCGAGCGGGCGAGCTCGAGGGCCGTCCGGAGCCGGCTGCGGGGGAAGGGCGCGCCCGGCGTTCCGCGGTGCCACTCACCCGCGTTCGGATGGAGCCGAGTGGGTGGCTGTGCGCAGTGGGGGTGGGGAGGAGGCTGAGGCGGGAGGGTTATTTAAGTCTTTCATCCGGCGGCAGGGAGAAGCGGCCCCCGGGGTGACAGCAGTGCTGCGGTCTCCCGCCGCCACCGCTGCGGCAGGTCCCAATATTAGCAACCTCCGCAGCGAGGCGCGAGTGCCGGGAGCCTCCAGCCCGCGCTCTCAGCCCCGCCCGGGAGGAGGCCGGCGCGTCGGCGCTAGGACCCGCGGGGAGCGCGAGGGGAGGGCCCGGGAGCCCGCGGCTCCGGGCTCGGGCTCCGGCTCGGGGAGGGGCGGCGGGGCTGCGGCAGCTCCGCCACACCTGGCGCTCGGGCGCGCTCCCGGCAGCCTCTCCTGCCCCGCGCCCTGCCGTCTCTGCAGCTTCCCCCAGGGCGCTGTGTCTTCACCCCGATTTCTCTTCCGATTCCCTAGAACAGAGTAGCCGTGGGTCGAGGGTGGGGGTGGGCTTACACCTTGATTAAACAGAAGGTGCATTTCTACGGGCAGTGAACTGGTGGAAGGAAACGTGCTGGAGAAATGATTTTTGCCTCCCCCAGGCAGCCGCAGGTGACTGCAGCTGCTGGCAAGCCCGGCGGTGACACAGCAGCGGCAGTGCAGGGGACTGGGGGCGGGGGACCCACGGGCGTCCCAGCAGGAGCTGCGGCAGCGGCAGACAACTTAGGTGGGACCTTGACGGAGCCCTTTGTTTTTCCCTTTGGGGGCGGTGAGGTGGAGACGCGGTGCAGCACGGAGAAAAGGGACAAGGAATTGTATCTCTGGGTAATCGGCTGGGGGAGTGAGAGGTTTCATTTCATACATACATACACACACACACATATATATATATATATTTTTTTTTTTCTCTTTAAAGCACTTGCTAGACGGAAAAAAAGTGAGCAGAAAATCAATTGAGGAAGTGGTAATGCAGAATAATAAAAAAGTGAGCGTTGGTCCTGATCCGCTAAGTAACTTGGCACGAGGAAGCCTGAGTGGCTTGACCGCTGGACTCGTGGAAAGATGGCTGCGTCTCTGCCGCCCCGCCCGCCCCGCCTCTGGGCCTGGCCTGGTGGTTCCAAAAGGCCAGGAAGGCCAGGCTTCATCAGGACCCACAGGAGCAGGGCCTGGGGCTGCATGCTCAATACCTCACTGAAGGAAAGACTTCCTGTTGAAGGTGTTGTCTTCCGGGTTGGTTCAGATTCTTGAAAAATTGGAGTTGCAAACTCCCATGTAGTCAGTCGTTTCCTAAAGAAACTGAGGTTTGCTCTAGTTGCTACAGACTCAGACTTACTGCATCTGGGGCTTTGAGATGATTGATTTGGCAGCCCTGGTGTGGGATTCTCTGGGTGAGCAGGGAGCTCCGGAGGGAGGGGGGTTAATCTGTTTTGGAAAGCTCCGTCTTGCCTCTCTCCACAGTCTGCATACATTCTTGTCCTCTAAAGAATGCAGCTCTGTTAAGTGTTGGGGGCTCTTAGGCCTGAGGGTTGTTTGGCATGGGCCAAGAGTGGAGCAGCTTCTGCCTGCCCTCCCATTGGCCATGGCTGGCCTCATTATGGCCTTGGGGATGAGGCTCAATGTGGAGGGGCTCTTGGGAGCTGGGCCACGTTTAGGTTAATGGTCTACTTGAACTGAGCCCTGGGCTGACCGCTCATGCCTAGTGATTGTGGAGCAAGGATAAAGTCTGGTGTGGTCATTTGCCTGAGGTGGTCCCAGGAACTGTCCTGGCCTTCCTGTGGACCAGAGATCACCTCACACCCCATCAGACCACCCCCCCCTTGGGCCCACCCAGTGAGCACATCCTCAAAGGAACTCTTGGCGGCTGTGAAAGAGAACAGCCAAATGCCACTAGCCACCGAACCTGTGCTTCCCCTGTCACTCCATCACTACCCATTACTATGACTCTTCTGACTTGATGTCTTGATTGTCTGCCTAAGAGGAGAGACAGCCCACCACAGTACACATGTGAGGGCCAAGGTTGTAATGTTGGGCACAATCCCATCATTCCTTCCCTCCCTTCTTCCAGTCTTCTTTCTCCTCTTCCTCACTCTTCCCTTCCTTCGTTCCTCTCCTGTTGCTCATTAAACATTGAAATGTTGCTGCACAGAAACCTTCTCCTGGGTTGCTCCGGATCTAGCAGCCCTCTGTACTGCAAACTCATGCAAACAGATAACATGGGGAGTGGTCCGCACTCAAATAAGTGTGGTTGGAAGCACTCCCTTGGCTCAGGCCCAGGGAGAGGTTACTTGACTTGGTAGAGTTATAGAGTTTATTGTGGACAAGATGGTACCAGGAATGATAAGGATTTCAATCTGGGCGGAGAGGATCTTGAGCCAGGTTGCCAGGTCTTTCTGACCTTGACAACATTGGTGTTCTCTCTGTGTGTGGGGGAATGCTGTGACTCACACATTCAGGTGTTGTGCTTGCCCTTAGGTCACTGGGATGACCTCATAAAAGGCTGGGCTGTTCTTCTGAGGTCTCTGTCTTTCAAGGAGCTGCAGAGAGATGGATGGTGGGTTGAGATGATGAAATCTTTTCCACCTGGGGTCACTATATAGGTAGTTCCTTCTTACATAGAGAGCTCCTCAAAAACTTTTCTCACTTTCAGGATGCCCTCTCTGACTTCCCTTCCCAAACTTGAGTGAGCTACCCATTGTTGGACACTGGCCATACCCTAAACATCTTCTTCTTGCTGCCTTTATCACATTATTGTCATATTTGTCTGTTTGTCTTTCCTTGCACTAGATGGTAAGTTCTTTGTGGATAGAGGGCTTAGGCTATATCTTATTCATCTTAGTATATTTAACAAATGGCACGTTTCTTGGCTTATGGTCACTCAATAATAGTTATTTTTTTAAAAAGATTTTATTTGTTTATTCATGAGAAACAGAGAGAGAGAGAGGCAGAGACACAGGCAGAGGGGGAAGCAGGCTCCATACTGGGAGCCCAAGCGGGACTCGATCTGGGTCTCCAGGATCATGCCCTGGGCTGAAGGTGGTGCTAAACCGCTGAGCCACCCAGGCTCCCCAGTAATAGTTTGCTGATCCAATAAGTCAGTGCATATGAATTAACAGCTATCTTGTTTCTTTTTCTTGCATCAACAAGATGTTGATGCTAGATCTTGTTGATGCTAGAGAAAGAAACAAGATAGATATCTTAATACCTTCTAAAATATATAATAATAATTTCAGTGTTTAACTCTTTTAATAGAGGTTAATTCTGTGCACATAAACAATTTGGGTGAATAGTCTGCATACATAGGGGATGCCCATCTTCCTAAATTTGGCATGATGAGAGAGCATAGACAGCCCCAGGAACTCACCTGCTTTTCATTTTCTCTGCTACTTCTAGTCCTACTCCTTGGGTCTGTGGAGACTGATCTAGGTAACATTTTCTAGTCACTAGTAAGGAAATGACTATGCAAAAATGGTACAGAAATCATGGATACATGAAAAAAAGGTAAAAAGAATCATAAGATGTACATAATCCATAAGGACATAGGCTTTGGTGTCTGATTGCTTGGGGGCAAGTTATTTAACATCCTTAAGCCTCAATGTCCCCATTTATGAGGTGGAGATTAAAATATTGTAATGTCAGGGGTTGTTCTGAGCATCAAGTGAAAGAAGGCCTCTCATTTGGCAGAGACTAAATACTCAAGTGTTCAAGGTATTATGATTGTCATTGTTGTGGTTATTGATAGTCTTCTTGTTGTTCTGAAGACAAGCTAGTCAGATGGTTTTGTAAGATCACACACACCCCGTCGTTTTGGGGCCTGGTGGGCAATGATGATGAATATTCATGATTAGTTCTCTGAGCTGAGCTACCTCCCATTTAGGGAAAACAGAGAGGTGAAAGACCCTGTTGGAAGATGCAAGTGTCTTTTAGTTTTGTGATTAAACCCTTCCCCATTGACATGGGATATTAAAGTGGTCAGACCTCATTGGGTGTAAAATGAGTCCTATCATTCATTTTATAATGAAAATTGGACATTAATGAATTCCTAACACTAATTTCAGGATCACCCCGACCTATATTGTGGTGTGTTTTCAGGTAGTTAAAACACACCGCATATGCATGTGGCTCCTAATGGTAATAAAATGCCATGATTTAAATTATTTTTATTTTTTAAAGATTTTATTTATTTATTCATGAGAGATACAGAGAGAGAGAAGCAGAGACACAGGCAGAGGGAGAAGCAGGCTCCATGCAGGGAGCCTGATGCGGGACTTGATCCCAGGACTACAGGATCATGCCCTGGGCTGAAGGAGGCGCTAAACCGCTGAGCCACTCAGGGATCCCTAAATTATTTTTAATCATAAGAATCAGAAATAGCACAATGAAATGAAATATTGTGTCAATAAGGGAGTGCATCTCATGTGAAATAAATCTATGGAAATGTTTCCTTATTTATCTTTCCATTTGCTTTGTGAGGTAGGGAAGGCTAGTAATAAATTAGCTGCTTTTAGATGCCATCTCCCAATATAGAGTTGGGGATTATTAGATCCAAAATACAATGTGTAATTTCTCTTTATATTTTTTCCATACACTATTTCACATTTTATGAAAATAGTCTTGCATGTCCAGATAGATATTCTATAAAATGTAAACCCAAGATATTTGTTACATTTTGTGCTTATCAAAGAATTAAGAATACCCCTTTATAAGAAATCTCTCTTCTTCTTCTTCTTCTTCTTTTTTTTTTTTTTACATCGTCTTGGAACCCTTTGCTTCATTAGATTTATGTAGTGCATGTCTTCTTTCGATTGCCACACAGTCTATTTTGTGAGAGTTGCAAAATTAATTGTTTAAAAATACATGTAAGTGCTTTTTTATTAGTCACATGAGACTGCCTATAGCATACTGTTATCCTTAGTTTTTTCCTAAACTTTTAAATATAAGTGAATTTTTTAATATTTGAGATATTTTTGATACAAGAACTTGGTATTTGGTATGTGTTAACTCGAGGTCTACACAAAATGTAGCACTTTATGACAAAATTGAGCAAATGGCTAGCACAAGTAATATTAGCATTGTCCCAAATATACAGTTGTGTAATCATCTTAAAACAATAATATAGTTAGAGAAATTAAAGCTGCTGTTGTATGGCCATAAAATTCTGGATTTATACCCAGCTTAGGTATTGTTATTCTTAGTGAGGTAAGCAAGGGGAAACTAAAAAAGAGGATCATTATGTTAGTTTGATTTTAGGGTAGAGTCTTCCATGCCTATTTTACATCAAGAGCATTTTTTTTGGTATCAGCACCCCCCCCCGAATATTATGTTATCTTAATTGCTTAACTAGCTCTCTGAGGCTTAGATAAGTACAGCAAAAATCAATACTTTGTTCAGGCAGAAATATTTGGGATGTGTATAGGCTATTATAATTTTTCAGATGGAGCTCAATAAAGATCTGGATAATTTTCCTTAGACACCAATCAGGTCTTGGGTTAGCACTTCGTACTCCTGTTTTAGGGACAGAAGACCATTCTCTGAATAGAATATGTCCAAATATATACAAAAATATATGTACACATATGCAAATAATTAATTTCATATTTACAAAGTGGGAGTAAGTTGCTTTCTCTTAAATTGTAGTCTTGTAGGTTTATTTAGAAGTTGTATTTTGGTTTATCTGTTATGTCACTTCTTAGGGTATCTGTAAATACTAGCTTTTTCATTTTTAAAGTGTTTTGTTATGTTTTGTGTTGGTAAGTCTTTTGGTGTCATTATTATAAGATAGAGTTTAATTGAAAAATCAGCTCTTGTAGAAGGTGGTTTTAAGAGAAGAGACTTCTTTAATGAGTGTGAGATTATCCAAGTTGGGAGCTGGGCTCAGTGTCCTCTCAAAAAGTCCTAGGGGTGTTGAGACTAAGGAATTGCTCTGTGCTCTGACCTGTCATTTGCCTTCTGCCATTTGTCTTACAGGCATTCTGGAATTTATCAGTATAGCAGTGGGCCTGGTCAGCATTCGAGGCGTGGACAGTGGACTCTACCTCGGGATGAATGAGAAGGGAGAGCTGTATGGATCAGTAAGTACTGTGAGAGACTTTGCCAATCTTTATGCCTCACATTTGATTCGAACTGCATTTTCTCTAGGTTGTAAATATCTAGAAATGAAACTGAATCTGTTTGGAAGTTCTTGCTTTTGGAGAAAAACCACTTTGTTTTTATTTATAGATATCAGCCCTGGCTCTTCACTAGACCAAAGGTTCTAAGAAAATGCTTTATTTATATGCCAAACCATTTTAATTATCAAGTAAATAAAAAATTCACAAGTGTGAAAAATTCCATCTTTTCTTGTATTGAATGGGAGTTATTTTTGAAATGAATTGAAATTATCTTCTCCTAAGCTTTGCAAAGCAGTGTAATTAAAACTAGAAATAGACAACCATGCTGTGAGTATAAACCCTTTCTTTGAGCTACATAAGACTTTCATTATGTAGAGATAAGAGGGAAATGGAAGTTATTGTCAGATATTCATGTACGTGAATAATAATATAAAAATATTATAATTATTTGCAAATATTATGAGTTTCTTTTTTCCCCCGTCTCACTTCCCATCTCTACTGGGTTGTAGGCTCCTTGAAGGGGGCAGTGAAGAAGTATTTATTACGGCCTAGCAGGTGCCAGGTGCTTCCATGTGCTTAGGGATGACAGTGAATGAGACAAAGTTCCTATTTCTGCTTTGAGAGAAGGGTACTGACATTAGATCTTTGTTATCTCTTTACTTGTGCTAGCAGGTTTCTAAAACACAGTGCATGCTACACAGTAGGAACTTAATACATTTTTGCTAAATGGATGAGTGTGAATCATAGATTATTAGTTACTATATATACTAACTTAAGTTTTCAACAAAAAGCTTGTAGTGCAATCAACCTTTAGTTTTTCCTGGCCATTACTGGTGGCCAAGGATTTAATCCATGTTATCTACAATAGGAGAACTTTGATTAGAAACTACAAAAAGTTAAAAATTAAAAGAAACTCAGAATGGGAGACAGAAATAAAGGGGATTTTCATATATAATTAGGATAAACGTTTTCTAGATATATTCCTTGCCTGTCCACATAAAGTAAATATATGTGTGTGTGCATGTGCACACACATGCAAGGGTTGGAGTAGTATCAAAACTTTTACTCAGACACTCCATATGACAGTGACTGGCCTGTGTAATTTGAATATAGCACACATCACTTTTAATGATGCAAGACTGGTTTCTCTGTCTTGGTAAAATTTGAATCTACACTAACCAGTGTAGATTTTGTTAGATATTTGTCTTTTTTTTTTTTTTAAAGCTTTCTTGAAAGAATAGATTATTTTAAAATATGTTTTTAAGCATAGGATTGGGTTTAGCGTTTTATTTTTATTTAATTTTTTAAATTTATTTTTAAAAGGTTTTATTTATTCATGAAAGACACACAGAGAGGCAGAGACATAGACAGAGGGAGAAGCAGGTTCCTCGAAGGGAGTCCAATGCCGGACTTGATTCCTGGATGGGGATCATGCCCTGAGCTGAAGGCAGACTCTCAACTGCTGAGCCACCCAGGCATCCTGGGTTTAGCTTTTTTAAACACAGATCGTGGTTTAGATAAAGTTATTTACTGCCTAAATTATCTTTGTCAGCACTTTTAAGTGCAAAGCTACAAGGTATAAGGAAATTTTCACAGATATTATTATTTTTATAGAGGGAGAGTGATGAGGGCTGAGGGAGAGGAAAAGAGAGAATCTTAAGCAGGCTTCACACCCAGCACAGAGCCCAGCCTCACAACCCTGAGATCATTACCTGAGCCGAAATCAAGAGTCAGATGCTTAAGGCCTGAGCTGCCCAGGGGCCGCTGCTTTCACACTTCTAAAACATAAACTAATGTTCTCCTTTTGTCACCCCCTCATTTTTTTTCACTTTTAGGTATATGGAAATTTAATTTATGGATTAAATAAAGTTGGTCACATTTGAACTCGGTAAAATGCTTCTTGTGTGTAGGGCACAATCCAAACTTCAGTGGGTGGAAGGGACTGTGGTTTATCATCACCATCTCCAGACTCTTGATCACATACCACCAGCAAAACAAATTTGTTTTGAGTATGGATTTCAACAGTGTATATTAAATTACTTAAAGCTTTTCTATATAAAATATAGTTCATATAGATTATTTTATTTTATAAGACTCATATTAAGGTAAACATTTTTAAAGGTTGTAACAAATGAGTAAACACAAATGGAGGCTGTATTTGTTCCCTGGACTACCTTGCATGCCCCTGCAGAGTACCCTCCCCTGGAGAGAGATGACCAGTCTTCCAGATGAACTTGCCAGCATGACAGCCTCTTGCAGTTGATTGGTTGACAAGGAAAGCATGCAACTTTGAATTCAGCACAGTGGCATTATGTTTGTTGTCCAGCCGAGCCTCATCTTGCTGTCTGGGTTCTTCTGGTGGTTTCTTGCTCATGTCTCCTCTCCTCTGGGGGCTCTTCTGTCTTTGGATGCTTCAGTCTGCAGCACAGGCTGGGAACAGAGTGTGGACTCTAGAAGGTGCCCTGAGTGTAGACTCAATCAATGTCCGCGATGGTTCTGCCTGTGGTGGGGGCAGAGAGCTGGGGAACCCATCTTGGCATGTTTTCTGGGAAGTCTGATTACCTAGTGTTGGGCTTTTTTGAGTGCACAGAGTGAGTGGCTAGGAGCAGGCTTCTGGGCCCACTGCTGCAAGGCCAGCAAGTGACACAGCTGTCTGAAAACCACAGTCACAGAACCTGAGCTGGGCAAAGGGGGTGGGTGGGGTGGGTCCAAGGAAAGGCCTCCATTTCCTCCCACACTTGAGAAATGCAGTTTCTCCTGTAAAGAGTATCTTCAGGCTTGGAAACTGCTGGGAGGAAAGTATAATAAGGAATAATTTTCCAAATTGTGATTTCCTTTGTGGAAGGAAGAGTGGAAGAGTGTCTGTAGCAGCTTGTCTGCATCCAGCTTGTTCCCTCTCCAGTCCATTTGCCACACTCTTGGGAACATTACCTTTCAAAACTTCTATACGAGTGTCACCTCTCAGGGTGGATTATTTATCTATCTATTTATCATCTATCTATCTATCTATTATCTATCTATCTGTTTTTTTAAAGATTCATTTATTTATTTATGAGAGACACACACAGAGAGACAGAGAGAGAGAGGCAGAGACATAGGCAGAATGAGAAGCAGGCTCCCAGCAGGGAGCCTGATGTGGTACTCGATCCTGGATCCTGGGATCATGCCCTGAGCCTGAGCAGAAGGCAGACGCCCAACCACTGAGCCACCCAGGCATCCCAGGGTGGATGGATCCTTTAAAGGGGAGCAACCGTGAGCTGTAGCAGAACATTCAGTACTTTTCACCAACCACTTTGCCTGCATCTGCACATGGTATGTGCTCAATAAACACTTGTTGGATTGAAATGAACTAAGCATTGCGATTTGTTTTGATGCTTCATGAAACACATGGGCATGGACCTCACTGTGTCTGCTTGTGTGGTCAGGTACACAGTCAGTACTGAGAACTCTGCTGGAAGGGAGAATCCCCATCTTCCATTCCCATCCTGAGTTAGGCTGTGATATGCTGTCCCTGGTGTGTCCAGCCCAAGGGGGATGAGGCTGAGGCTGGAAAAAGAGTGTAGTGGCAAAAGCATGGCAACAGGAGTCAGGAGACTTGAGCTCTCATTCTATCTCTACTACCAGTGAAGTGCTGGGCTCTTGTTCTCTTCATCTGTGAGATGAGTAGCTTGACCTGGATGTCTGGGATGTCTTTTCTTATTCTGGATCTCAAGAACTTATGGCTTGGATTTTTTAGGCTTTACTCTCAAGTCTTGTCTGCCTAATGCACGATGTTCTCTATGTACACGAAGTGTTCATGCAGCAAGATCTTTTTGCCCCTTACGTATAGAGCTGGCAAGAAAGCAGGTGGTTTTCCTTTTGGTCTCTACCTAAGGCAGGAGAGGGGAATGAAGATGTGATCTGTGCTCCGCTGTGACTAGGTATCATGTTTTCTGTTGGGTTTGTGGTTATCATGTCTGGTGTGGCAGTGGAAATGAGGAGTGACTGAAATGTTACATTTTCATTGTGATAAGACTAGGAGAAGGAGAAAAAAAGAAACAGGCAATGATTGTGCTATGAAATACAGTTGATCCTTAAATAGCATGTGTTTGAACTGGGTGAATCTACTTCCAGGCAGGTGTTCCCCCCCCCCACCAATAAATACACTGCAATATTGTAAATGTATTTTCTCTTACTTGTGGTTTTCTTAAGATTGTCTTTTCTTTAGCTGACCTCATTGTTAAGGATGTAGTATGTAACATATAACATACATATATATATTAGTTTATGTTATTGGCAAGCCTTCCAGGCAACCTAGGGCTATTAGTAGTTGAGTTTGGGGGAAGTCAGAAGTTATATGCAGATTTTCAGCTGCACAGGGATCAGTGCCCCAACCCTGTATTGTTCAAGGATCAATTGTACACTAAAAATTTCAGCTTAAAGAATTTTTAGCTATATGAAGTTGTGTAAAGCTCAGCAAACTAAAGTGGAGATGTTTTGTTTCTAAACATTGGGGAAACCTTGAAAAGAGTTATAGAAGAAGGCTAATAGGAGATTGAGGAAATAGCAGATTTCCACTCAAAAAGTAAAGCAAAATATAGCAAAAATTAATTTAAAATGTATTTTGGGATAAGTTTTCTCTTTTTGTCTGTGTAATTCTTTTGTTTTCAAGTTTATTTTAGGAATATATCTAAAAGGCCAGAGGTCAACGGGGTCATATTTCTTCAGAAAACTTAGAATTCTGATCCCCTTATTAGAATATGGCAGTAGGAAAAACTACATTGCTAGTGTGTATCATATGATTTAAGAGCAACCTGAATAATTCTGGTTCTAGGATAGGGATTGATTCTTGCAATCGTGTGTTAATTCATATCAATTCCTTTGTTTGCTCATTCATTCACAAACATCTATAACTACTCTGTGCCTGGCACTGTGCTGAGTGTATAACAGTGCAGCAAAGATCTCAAAATCTGGAGGGAGAA